AAATTCAAAGAAAAATTAAATGAAAAATTATTCCAAGGGAAAAGAATACTTAAAAGCAAGGTTAAATTAATGAGATTGTTCGACACTTACAAGACAATGGCAGGAGGATTGGCTACATAGCAAATTCAACCTAGCTACATGAGATCCTGTCCAGAACAGGAAAAAAAAAAAAAAAATCAAATCACCCTTCCAAAACAAAATGTACTCTCATCACAAGAGTATGAGGCTATCTCCCCTGTTGGATATTAACATAGTTTTGTTTACACCAATGAGATAAACCACCAATTATAACTAGAACTATTATTTCACTAATTATTGACTTGGGCATTCTATCAAAAGAAGGCTGACTATAAATATGAACCAAGAATAAAAAATGTGTAATCAGGGAATAACAAAGTGTTATTAAAAATTAAAGACAAAAAAGGCAAGTGGCTGGGCTGACACTGAAGTTGGTGATCTTGGAAATACAGCTATTAAGACAGGATGCAGCACAGACATCAAACTGAAATCAAGAAGCATAGAGGCCCACCATTGGCCTAATAAAGATTCCAGCAGGATTCAGGTGTGGTGGTGGGCATCGGTGATCTCAGTACTCAGGAGAATAAACCTGAAGAATCACCAAGAGCTAAAATTAAAAGGCCAGCCTTAGCTATGTTAACAAAATTCATATTCCCCTCCCCCACTGCCCCCCCCCACACACACACAGGAGGAAAGAAACAATACAAAGGAAGAAATAATTAACAAAAGAAGAAACTTCCCAGTACTGGAAAAAGAGGTTTCAAATTGTAAAGAACTTTTTGAGAGCCAACAGAATTAATCAAGATGAACCATGCCTAAACTAATCTGTGCAAATTCTTAACTAGATTCCTACACATTCCAAACACCACCATGCAAATGAAGAGTAATAAGTAAATCCTTACAATGGTAGAGTAAGTGTAATTATCCTTTCTGCAATGATTTTCCAACAGGCTAGAGAATAGATACATTAAATAACAATGATACTGACTTTATTTTTAATCACTGACAGCAAATGAAGGAAAATATATTATTACCGTCCCTGCAAATTTTTATCACCCAACAAGTTGAGGTACAAAGGCAGAAGCTATGTTGAGGTGAATTAAATAAGCCTGAGAAGTTCTGAAACACAGCCTTCCTTAACCTTGACTGGTAATGTGTATTTCTTCCCAAAATAATTTCACTTAGGGCTGGGGAGATGGCTCAATCATAAAGCACTTGCGGTGCAAACATGGGACCTGAGTGCAATTTTCAGCAACCTATGTAAAAGAGCCAGGTGTGGTGGTGCATGCCTGTAATCCTAGCAGTGAGGATGTAGAGGTATGGGCTCACTGGTCAAGCCAGTCAACCCAAGTCAATAGTAAGAGACCCTGTACCAAAAAGTAAGGGAGAGTGATAGAGAAAGACACTCAATGTCAACCTATGGCCTTCACATACAGGCATACATGTGCACACATATATAGAAACACATACATACACACAAAACAACTTTCACTTAACTCTTATGTTTAAACTTTTAATTCAGAGGAGCATGTCATCAAACCACAGTACAGAATCTAGGAATGATCTTTATGTTTTTAAAGGGTTTTAAAAAGAAGAGGAGAGCTAGGTGAGAAAGAGCTGATCTTCCTAAAACAAGAGACTCTAGATAGGCTGACAAGACCTCAGTAGATGAATTGCACTGGGGAACGTCTTGGGACTTGCACTGGGGAATGTCTTGACACAGTGGGCCTTAACATGGATGACAGAGTATATGGGTTCCAGTGAGGGGAGGTTGCCAGTTGGGGACAGGGGTAAAAAGATTAAGATTGTTTGAGATATATGAAATAAAAAAAAAAAAAATCAATAAAAACAAATTAAAAAAATAAAATAAAAGAGGAGAGAGGGCAGACAATAACAAAACAGAGACCCTATGTAGAAGCCTGAAGTACTAACTGGCATTGACTGTGATGATATCTGAGTCTCAGATGAATGTTTATCAAAAGGTAATCTCGGCCGGGCGTGGTGGCGCACGCCTGTAGTCCTAGCACTTAGGAGGCAGAGGCAGGCAGATCTCTGTGAGTTCAAGGCCAGCCTGGTCTACATAGTTAGTTCCAGGCCAGCTGGGGCCTCAGAAAGACCCTGTTCCAAAAAGACCAAAGAAAAAAAGATAATCTCAGAAGTGGGAGACTTTAATGATCAAATGGACAAGGCAGACCATCCTATAACATCAGGGAGCCTTTCCCCAAGTATTCCTGTCATTGCCCAACAGACTTATGAACCAAGTTGCCATTGTGGCAAAGATGGAAACTGGGCTCAGGAATATGGCTTTCCCCTCACCAATTAGCTAGGTAGTAATATCTTATTTGGGAATAGATCACCAGAAGACTATATTCTCAAGAAACATCTAACATATGGTACTGTTTCTCAATGAGCTAGGATACACACCTCTAGGAATCACAGGGAGAAAATGTGGGTGGTACTATTCACTATTACCCCTACTAATCTAGCAGCAACATTTTGGCTTTCTGTCTCTATGGCTTACAGTCAGTTGCTCTAGAGGTGTTAGTTCCGAAGGGAGGAATGCTACATTCAGGAGACACATTAATGATCTCATTGAACTTTAGATTGAAACTAACACTTAGCCATACCTCTGAACTAACTGATCTCAATTACTATAGGAAAGTTCGACTGGTGGCCTACGATGGAGGTAAGGAAGACCATGTCTAAACTATAGGACATCTCTTAGGAACCTCTTAGCACTACTATTTCTTATGATTAAAGTCAATGGAAAACTACAGCAACACAACCCAGACATCACAATCAGGATGCTTACAGAGGGTAAACAAAACATAAAATAGGCACCACAAAAAAGCAAATATATGTGCATATATATGTGTATATATGCTATGACTACTTAAATTTCAAGGAACTGCAATCTCTTATGTTCTTATGAACATTGTATGCTTCAAAATGTTTGATTTCTAGCTGGGCATGGTGGCGTACGCCTGTAGTCCCAGCACTTGGGAGGCAGAGGCAGGTGGATCTCTGTGAGTTCAAGAACAGCCTGGTCTACATAGTGAGTTCCAGGATAGCTGAGGCTACAGGGAGCCCCTGCTTCAAAAAGACAAAAAAAAAAGTTTGATTTCTTCCCTTTTTAAAATTTATTTTTATTTTATGTGTATGAGTACTTTGTCTACATGTGTATAACTGCACCCCTGTCATGCAATGCCCACAGAAGTCAAAAAAGATTGTCAGATCTCCTGGAACTGGAGTTATAAACAATTGTTAGCTGTCATGTGGGTGCTGGGAACCAAACCCAGGTCCTCTGCAAAGGTAGCCAGTGCTCTTACCAGCTGAGTCATCTCTCCAGCCCCATTCTTCCCTCTCTTATTGCCTTATCATGTAAGATACTGACCTAACATTATAGTATGTAGGGTCATTATTACTTCTGTGCCACAAAGTTGAAGTTACAAGCAAGAACATCACCCACAGATCATACCCTATTCTAGGGAAAGGATTTTTATGTTGTTTACAAAAGAGTTTCACCACGTCAGGTGGAAGTATGAAGTTGTTAGTGTCTTGAGTATGAAGCATCTTATTAGTTTACTAGGGCTGTCATACAAAGTACCACAGATTGGATGGCTTAAGTAACAGAACTGAAACTCAAGGCCAAAGTATTGGTAGTTTTGGTTTCTTCTAAGCCCTCTCCCCTTAGCTTGCCAGGGGCCATCTTCTCCCTGTGCCTTCGCATCGTCTTCCCTTTGTACACATCTGTAGACTTTTCTTTTTTTGGTCTTTTTGGCCCCAGCTGGCCAGGAACTATTATGTAGACCAGGCTGGCCTTGAACTCACAGAGATCTGCCTGCCTCTGCCTCCAGAGTGCTGGGATTAAAGGCATGTGCCACCACACCTGGCTCTGTAGACAATCTTATAAGGACACCAGAAATACTGAATTAAGACCCACCCTAATGATCTTATTTTAACTTCATCTCTTTAATTTTAATTACTGTACATGTGGATGTATGGGGGGGGGGTGAGCACACCATTGCAAGCATGTGGAAGCCAGACAGAAACTTTTGGGAGTCATTTCTTCAACTGTGAGTTCCAGAGATAGAACTCAGGCTGTCAGGCTTGCTATCCACTGAGCCACCTCCCCAGCCCTTAACTTTACTTCTTTAAAGGCCTATCTCCAAACACATACACATTCTGAGGTACTAGGGGTTAGACCTTCATTGTGAACTATAAAGAAAAAAGAATCAGCCCATAAGAAATATGATTTACTGAGGTATGTATGAGTGCGCCAAGCTGATTTTATATGTCAATTTGGCTACACTACAATAACCAGACATTTAGTGAGTTGCATATAAGTCTAGATGTTGCTGAGGTGGGATTTTTTTAAGATGTGATTAACACAGAAACCCTAAAAATAAAACAGGTCAATTTCCATAATGTGAGTGGGCCTCAGCCAATCAGTTGAAGGTTTAAAAAAAGACTGAAGTCCCCTAAAAAGGAAGAATTCTGCCTCCAGAATTTCTTTCATCAAGACTCCAAAATCAATCCCTCCTTTGGTTTCCAGCCTGTCTTGAACACTTCATAAACAGAGGTCCCCACCACTGTAATGAGCCAATTCCTGAAAATTAATAGGATAAGTGGGCCTGGTCTAATCAATAAAGGCTTGAGGGGTGGGACCTAAGGTCTTCTAAAGAAGAAGGAAGCCTGC